GCTTACCACAGGTGCGGCAGCTATAGAGCACACTGCCCGCCTCTCAGCCCTGGGGCAGGGGCTTCCAGCTCAGCACACTGAAGGGTGGTCTGGACATATTCCAAGGTGACATCACTCTTGGACCCTCTGACATCCATGTCCCACTCCCCCCAACTCCCACCCCACAAGAACCCAAGGAGATGTGGGGGGAGAGTCCGAGTGCCAGACTGGGAGCAAATCTTGCTCGAATTCTCTAAACCCACTATGGTACTCAAGGTCGGCCACTGGCTCAGGGTGGCTGACAAGGAGGGCAGATGGGGACATCAGGGCTAAAGCTGCCCTGCCTGCTGTCCCAGGATGTGGGGCTGGAGGCCGAAGATACCAGGGAGGGCAGCTCCCTAGGGACTCGCCAGCCATGCGGAGGAGGAGGAGGAGGAGGGCAGAGTCTGAGGGAGGACAGAAGAACCGGGCCCTTGATGAGGTCAGCAAGCTGCTGACCACTCACCTGGAGCTGCCTCCTGTAGGGCCCTTTCGGTCCCAGAGCTCCTACAGGTTGAAGCACCTACACCCAGTCGGCTGTGACTTGCAGCGAGCACACCCTAACTATAATAAACATTCAGCCCTGCCCGCCGCCTGAGAGCTTGTTCTACAGGCTGAGTGAGCCAGTCAAGGCACGGTGAGGAGGGGCCAGCCTCCTCCGGACACAGCCAGCGTCTAGTGGTTTCCCGGGAGCCTCTGCTGAGCATATTCTCCCATCTCACCTGCATGTCCGAGGAGCACCAGGCCCCTGCTCCTCCTGCCCACTTGGGATGGCCGCCACCCCCCACGCCGGCTCTCCCTGAAGCTGCGGGCCAACAAATAACTCCGCCTGGAGTGGGGAACAGGAGTGGTTTATTCTCACGGCTGGGCAAGGGTCAGGGCCCCCGGTCTCAGCAGCAGCAGAGGCAGCCCCCTCCCCACTCCAGCCTCCTCCTCAGTGCGGCATCCACAGTGGGGGGTGAGGGAGGGCTGGGCTTGGAGCTGGAGGGGCAGCAGCAGGGGCAGTAGCAGCAGCAGGTTATGGAGGGGGTACGAAGTGTTAGTCCGGCTGCCTGGCTCCCATGCCCTCCAGGGTGGTGCTTGGCGAAGGGCCGGGCGGCAGGGGGTGGGCACCGCAGCGGCTCAGTCGGCGGTGAAGATGCGGCTGGAGATGTCATCGAGCAGCCAGTCGACGCCCAGAAGCAGGTTCTCCCCGGTGACAGCGCTGCAGCTCTGGATGCACCAGTGGTGGCTTCGGATGGAGTCCAGCTCCAGAGCCTAGGCAGGAGGAGCAAGGGAGAGGGGGCCGTGACCCCGGGGTGCCACCCACCTGCCCCCTCCCTGCCCTGCCCAGGGCACGAGACACCCGAGTCTCCCTCAAGCCCTGGCCCTGGGGGAGGGTTTGCCAGCCGCCCTGGGGCACCTGGGCTTTCTGTACGCCACCACAGCTGGCACTGCCCCCTCAGAATGCCACAGTGACTGGGGCTCCTGAGTCCCCATCCATTAGGGTCCGGTGCTGCAGCCCTACAGATGCCCTCTCAGCCGTGACTCCCAAGGCCCCACGGGACACGCGGTGCGCCAGTCAGCTATTTTGTTGGGGAGGACACGAAGGCTCAGAGAAGGCAATTAACGTCACACAGACAGTCAGTGGCAGCACCAGGATTTGAACCCTATCCCATCATCCTGGGGTCCCAGAGCTAGAACAGTAGTTAAGGTACTGGCTCGGGCCCAGTTCAACCTGGGTTCCAATCCTGGCTTGTCTCCCTGCCAGCTGAGAGATTTGGGATCCCTCAATCCTCTGAGCCCAGCTGGAAAGCCATCGTCATTCCCACCTGTTGAGAGGCTTCAGTGATTTCCAACCTGCAAATCCAAAGACGGCCCCACCGCCAGCCAGCGGGTCAGTGCTAACTGGCAGCGACCC